GTCCTGGAAGCCTGTGATCCCCCAGCACACCACCGCCAAGCCGCCTTTGACGTCAGCTCATGTCTACAAACATTGTCTTTGACCCACAGCCAAAATGTGCAAGGCAGGGGAATATCATTGAATATCCGCAGAGAGCCCGCTCCAGGCGCTGGGTGAAGGGGCAGAGGGCTGAGGGCGAACACGCAGGCGCACCCGGGGTGACTTGGGAGCCAAAAGGTCCCCAAGAAATCAAGTCATTTAAAATGCAAATCCTCAAGGAAAACAGATGGGTGAACCCTCGCTACAGGTCACGCAGGCTGGACTCGGGCAGTCCCAGCAGGAAAACCTGCAACATCTGGAGGCTCCGCCGCTGCCAGAGGATCCCGCAGCAGCCGGGGGCTGGCCCCAGGCAGAGCAAACTGGATTTTGGGGAGACAGCTCTGCACCCAGACAGCTGCCAAGGCCTCTCCTGAAGGCCCGGTGCTGCTCCACGCACCTCGTGAAACGCTTGCTGTACCAACACCAACAGCACAGATGCGGCTGCCTGGGAAGCAGCAAAGGCACCTCTTCCAGCCAGGGCGGATGGGGAGGTCACGCCTTTGCCTGTTGTTTACTGAGGGCTAGGGAAAGCTGGGGGATGGGTTGACTGGTGACACTGGGAACAAGCACAAAAGGGAGCTGTGGATCAGGGCTTTCTTTTTATAGGAGGGACACAGTGATTGACATGGCCTTGCTGAGGTCTCACAGCAGGCCCACGGTGGCTGTGGGACTGAACCTCAAGCTCCAAGGATGAAGCTGGCTCATGTTACTCATCACCAAGAAGCCAAACACAGCTCCTCCTTGGTGAGCAAAACGCAAACACCAAGCTCTGCTGAGCAGCTCTGCTCCCCGCAGCGGAGCCCAGCTTGGCCTGCAGCCGCTTTCCAAGAGAGCCGAGCTCCTGCCATGCCCTGGCTCCTGTCACCACTGACCCTCCTCAGCGGTGATGAAGGCAAAACCCAATAACTCATAGGGAAAACAACAGTGCCATCTGCTGCACAGCCCTGCTTGGCCCCGAGCGGCCGGACAGCCCGTGGCCTGCCCACACAAGGCGTTTGCACCGGCTCACACAGCCCACAACGGTCACAGCAGCCGGCAAAATGCATCCCCAGCCAGCACCAAGCCAGGCACGGAGGCAGCACAAGCATCCCTGCAGCGGGAAGGCAACCCGACGGCAGTCCTGATGGCCACCCGCAGCTGAACGACTGGGGCCAGCCTCTGGTTTGCACAGAAGAGCAGAGCCCATTTTGTGAGCGCAGGGTGTGAAGGAGATGGAGGGAGAAGCAAGCTCACTGAGCTAAAGGAGGCAAAGCCCCCCTCTCCTCCATCAGCACCCTGCGGGTGAAGCACATCTTCCAGCCTCTCTTATAGGGGGGAAGAGGAAAACAGCCCCTAACAGCCACCGAGCCTTGGCAAGCTGCCCAACACCATCCTCGGCATCTCCTCTGGAGAGAAATTCTGGCACTAGACACCACGCACTCCCACACGCACTTGATCACCCTGCTATCCTAGGGACACACCAGGTAGGAGGGACACCTGGGCGAGCAGGGTCAGCCCGAGAGCGCTAATAGCAGTTTCTCTGCACCTTCCAGCCCCAGCAGCTGTGTGTAGTTGCCAATTAAGCCGTCCCTGCTCCACAAGTGATTGCAGTTTGGGGGCAGGTGAAGCACTTTCTCTGCATACGCTGCCTGGAAAGCGTGCCGGCATCCTCTGTGAGATATGTGTTGCTATAGCAATGGGAAAGGTATCAGAAGCAACAGCAGCGTTGATGGATGGCGTAGATTGCTTTCAAGATCACCACACAAAATCAGGACCCCTGCTTCTCCAAGGTCCAAGCGCCGTATAGGGAACAGCGCAGTGAAAACACTGAGAGGAACTGGAAAACAACCCCGAGACACCCAGAATAAATGAAGTCCTGAGACGCTGCTCCTTTCCTCACATAGTCAGTCATCGCAAAGCAAACTGACCCCAAAGAAACCGCACGGAGCTACAGGACATCAAATCAATCATTACAGTATCCCAGAGATTTATTCCGGAGCCTGCAGCAGTCGCTGCAGCCTCTGTTCACGTCTGATCAGCCCTGTTTGCGAGCGCACGCACATGCGTGAGTGGGAGCTCCAGATGGAGCAGCTGAACCACGCTGAGGAGGGACTTTGCGTCTCTCCTCCCGCTTCATCCCAGACCCTGCTGCCAGCTGGACTCTCACGTGCGGTCACTTGTTGCCAACTCGCCCTCCTGCCCACAGCACAGCCCAGCCAGGAGCTAACTCCCAGCCACTGGAGTCACTTCAGACACAGCTCCCTTCTCTGCCTCGGAGCAACGACGGAGACGCACAAATTCAGCTCCAGCCTTTCCTGCCTGCACTCGGGCACTCTGTGTGCTGCCCTCAGCCGGCCCCAGGGCTGCTTGTGTCCACCATCTGCTCCCTTCTCCAGCCCAAGCGGCCAGGAAGGGAGAGGGGGCACGAGTCTGCAGCTCTGGGAGCTGGGCTCAGGATGGAAGCCGCCTTCTGACCCAGCTCGCAAGCAGGTTTCGGTTTGAAAGGCTGAAATTCACCCTTGTACGCCAACCTTTGCTTTCACATGTCATGACACCCTGAACAACACACCTGCAGCAATTAGATCAGAGATGAAGGAAAAAAAAAAAAATCTTGTTTGCTCAGCTTATTTACTTTGCAGCACTCAGTTTTCCCAGTTGTTTGTGTGGGTCTTTCCCTTAGCAACCAGGGAGAGAAACATTTATGAGGCATAAAAAATGTAGCTGTACAGCCGTAAGAACTGGCAGGGTGCGGCTGTGGGTGCAGCTGGAAATTCCTCTTAACTGGTAGTCACAAATGACAGGGACTTCCATGAATTGCACCCCTTAAACAGCAGAGTGGCTCATACTCTTCAAGCACGACGTGCAAATGGGATCTGGACTTCTAACCTGTGCTCTCCACCATAACACCCCCCCACGCAGGGTCCCATGCTTGTAAGAAATACCTCTGCGTGCCTCAGTTTACCCATCTATAAAATGGGGGTAAGTATAAAAAAGTGATGGCAAGGCTAAAGTTGAGACTCCATAGGAATGCAGTGTGCATTCCTCAACACGGAACAGAGACTGAGCTCTGGACATCTTTTTCTAGACAGTTTTACATCTATAATTTTCTGCATCTCCCTGCAAGATTATTCTCCACAGTCATGGTGACAAAGTGCTCTTGACCCTTGGCAGGGTCAGGATCCAAAGCCCAGTATTTTGGTTGCCAATCCCCTTTTCCAAAGGGACGCGCCACAATCCAGCAGGCAGGCATGCTGGCACTCGCTCCTGCCTCACGCGCTGACCCCCAACAGGGCTAATTTAGCTTTTGTTTATGGGGCTGGATCAAGGCAATGGAGGCCCAGATCAGACGGACCCACCGGAGGCGGCTCTGCTATGCACATTTTCCAGTCCAAAAATGGGTCCCAGTCGACTTTTCCACCACAACATCAGCCCTTCCCTTTATTCATTCTTGGGCTCCCAGGAGCATCACTGCCCACTTACCTTCCCACCACCCCACCAGGGCAGCAGCACTGACCCCCCCTTCCCTTCCAGGGTTGGGGTGCGGAGAGAACAGAAAGTACAAAGACAGAGAAGCATCAGAGGAGCATCAGGACCAAAGAGCCACATTCTGATGAGACACCCCCCCCCCCAAATT